GAAAGAGGCAGGGGAATAAAAAAAATCTTTCTAAAGGAGCAATTAACTTGAGAAAAGCATAAAAAACTTGGCTTGGAAATGATGTGGTTAAGAGAGTACAGAAGAGGGGAATGACCACAGTCTGCAAATATCTGAAGGCTGTTTAAGTCACAGGAGTGAAAATATGTGGGATCATATATGAGGGATTAATTAGAAGTAATTGGAAGAACATAAAGGAAAACACATTGTCTGTGTCAAGAAAAACCTACTGATCATAGTTGATCCTAACATTTCTGCCAGTTTGCCAGGGTAACTACAAGCTGTTTTGACAATATTATCCCAGGAAATACTCTGGGAACTCAGGGTTAAAGGCTCCTTCAAGAATCTGAAGAGCAACCACTAAGTAAAAAATTACAAGTCTGTCTGGATATGAGATGGACACATTGTTCAGGTGTTTCACAAGGTAGACTGAAGCCTAAAGATCCTGGAGTAAAAAACATTAGGCAAGAGAGCAGGTTTATTCCATCTCACACCTCTGACTCCTGGCGCGATATATGCAGAGCTCTCAATTTCAAGAATCCTTGACATGTGTGGAAGTGACTGTCAAACCCCACAGGTTTATTATGCAGCATGCTTGAGGAAGGCAATAGCAACAATTACAGCTCTTAAGAGTATCCACCTGTACTATGCTTCTTTATTTTCCAATCCTTCTTCCTGTCCTACACCACTACCACGTCTCCTCTCCTCATCCCCAGTGGCACTTGCTTAGCAGGCTAGTGTAGTGGCAACCAGGCCCATGACAAATGAATCCAAAATCCACTGACATCTGTCAGCTACCTCATGAAAGGCTGACATATTTCTAGGGAGGGTGTTAATATATTTTATGTGTCCACCAGACCAAGATGTCTCATCACCTATACAACAGCTTCAAAGTTTGTTGAGGCAGCATGGAAACAAGTGCTCAGGGAATTTTGGGGAAGAAAATTTAAGCTGGTTGGGATTTTTAAGCCATTTCTTTTCTTCCAAAGAAGGGACAATGAATTGAGAAATCTAGTGGAAGAACAAAACAAGAAACAACAATAGAGACTTCTGTGGCAGACAGTTCTCTTTTTCCAGAAAGAGAATTTTGCATTTACAATACTCACTTTCTCCACATAGATACAAATGAGTGTACAGACACACATCCTGTCCTTTCTCCTCCTGATGCATTGAACATTGGTGCTTTCCAGTAGAGTGGGCAACCACACACCTGTAATGAAACACCAGGACAAAAAGGAACACAGAAGCAGTCACAAGAAGAGCCTCCTTGTTTACACACTGAATTCACCACCCAGACCTTTACATAAAGGAAATAAAGCAGTAATGGCACACAGCTTAGTTAGAAAGCTATTTACTGTGTGCCAAGGGTCAGAATCCATCAATAACTTTATTTTTGTTCTATGCTGAGAGTAACTGAGAAACATGTCCTGTCAGGCTACAAAAAGGATCAGACACTATCAAGCTCTTAAGCTCTGACTGAACTGCTCAGCAAGATGCCCTGCAAAGTGAAGTGGAGACAGGACCACCCCCCTTCCAGATGAGTACCCACCCTGATTTGGTCCTGGCTTGGACTTGATGATCTCCAGAGGTCCCTTCCAACCCCTGACATTCTGTGATTCTGTGACCAACCTTAGAAAAGGACAACCCATTGTCTAGATGGGCTGACTTCTCATTGACAGCAAGGGAATTCCAGTTCTAATTATACACAATTAATTATTAAATGCCTAAAGATGAAATAATTCCCACCCACATAATGCCCTCCACCCTCAGCAGCCCATTTTCCCAATGCTGCTAGATCTCAGCAGGGTAACAAAAACTTAAAAGCAGAAACAGGAAGAGGCCAATTCCAGCAAGAGGACTCTGAACACAACTGTTGATCTGCAGAGGCTGCTCGTTTTCCAAATGGTCACCAGTGAACACTCAAGCACTTCGTGCTCTCTAATGCCTCAGAAAAGCAGGCTTGAAAATGGCTTCAAGCATTCAGCTGCTGACACCTTCAAGAAACCTCCTCTTTGCAACAAAGATCTTTCGAGTCACCTTCATGACTCCAGACAAGGTATCAGCACATCTGCAAAACACAGGCCTTAGCAGGAGTGCAGGTGATTCAGGCCAGGCACAGGTGATATCTCATCAATGGGAAGGAGGAATATTTTAAAGAAGTAGTTGATGCATCATTTCTGCTTTCCCCACAAAGCCTCTTTCACTTCTTCTATCAAGCAAGACTACCCTGAAAGTCCATTCTCAACTTTTTCCCTGAGCTGCATGTTTCTTTGGGAACCCAAATCAGCATAAGAACTGTTTTTGGATTTAGTCATCCCTTGTCAAGTGACTGTACTTCAGGTGTTTAGCTGCTCTGAGGAAAGCATGACATTTACTTCCTGTGTGCAGCTGATTCTCCCATATTTATTTCAGAGCCCCAAGCCTGGTACCCTGGGAGAGAAGCAAGCCTTACAACAGCAAAATAGCATGGAACATATCTATATAGAGACAGATACAGAGACCAGAAAGAAAGACAAAGGTCTCTTCTACAGCATCCCCCTCCTTTATCCAGCTGGAACATGACAGGGCACACGCACTCATAAAATCCATATCAAACAATTTTTTGGACAAACAATGAAGTTTTTCTGTTTATGTTTTCAGAGACAGTTTACAAACATTGCCATTAGACTCTGCTAAAAACAAACAGAAAACCAACCTAGTCTCTCCTTTCAGAGCAATCTTCCTTCTTGGAAAACAAGTGCTGCTCTTGGACAGAACATCAGTGCTCAGTCTGCAGTGGCAGAGAGGCAGGCAGGACAAACCAAATGTAGGAGAGGCAGCTGACAACTGCTCCTCTTAGAGCAGCACCTCTAAAACCTCTGCTTGAAGGAGAGGAAAACAGAGCCACCCAACTGCACCACATTCCCACACAACTGCTGTGTGCTGCTCCCTGAAGCCAGAAACTCATCAGCAGACTGTAACAACTCCAAGTCTGCTGATGCCTGCACTATGGGTATTAATGTAAGCATCCCAGGGGTGGAGGTTGACTAAGCATTTCCCCCTTCTGTGTCCAAGGAGGCAAAGGCTGGGAACTGCTTTCTCAAGCAACAGTAGATGTGGATCATGTCCAGATTAGTGGGACAGATAACCACAAAGAAGGCAGCTGGCCCTACCTGAAGCCACAGAGGCAGACTAAGTCTCACAGAATCATGGGATGTCCCTGGCTGGAAGAGACCTCCAAGATCATTCAGTCCAGCCTTAGGACTAACACCACAAGCTCACCACTACACCCTGTCCCCAAGCACCAGGTCCACATGCTGTTTAAACGCCTCCAGAGATGGTAACTCCACCACTGCCCTGGGCAATCTACTGCAATGCCTGACAACCCTTTCAGTCTCTCCTATCTTCTGAGCATAACTGTGGGGGAACAGAAAAGCAAAACTGCAATCTGTACTTGGCAAGAAAGCTGAAAGAACCATTTCACAAATCAAAGAACTTCACATCAGATGTGACAAACAGCAAACTGAGCTCATCTTTGTTTACTGTTTTCTTAATATAATACAAACATTCAGAGCAAAAGGATATTGGGTCTTTTTCACTGAAAATTAGAATAGCTGTGAGATACTTTCTTAGCCTTGGTCTTTCTCTCAAAAAAATTAAAAACCCAGTGAATAGCTCTTACCTTTGCAATTTTCCCCATTTCATAGATGTTTGCTTTCTCTTCTTCAAACTCTGAAAAAGCTTCTTCAATCCTGGCAACGACCTCCTCATGATTAGCACAGACATTTGGAAGTCCTTTAGGGAAGTAGAAACGTGGAATGTTTATAGACAAAGGGGTACTGCTGGTGGCTTTATTCACAGGCAGAAGAGTGCAAGAACTGACTGCAGAGCTCAAAGGGACTGGGGGTGAACTTCCAGGTTTCTTCTCTTGTTTACTTTGAACCTGAAAATATAATGAATAACAAATAATTTTTAACAGCCTGGCATGCCCAAGAGGAGAAAGTAATTTGTGCTCCCAGTGATTTGGGAGAAATGTAAAAATACCAATAATTAAATTATAGCACATGGTAAAAATGCAATATTGGACAGTGCAAATTTAGTATAAGTCACTTCCTGCTTTTGTGTAGTTTCTGTGCATTTTATGTATGCAGCTGTGCATTATGATATACTATTGAATGGAGAACACACTGCAGTTCAGCAACACCACAGAACAAGGGCAATGCTATTTTTTCTCACGCTGGTCACTGTGTTGTCATTCTGCCCCATAAATAGCAAAGTATCAAAATCTAGTTGTTAGTATTTTCCCTTAGAACTAGAACACCCACCCACCCAAACATCTTGCCTCATGTATGAGCAGACTTATATTCCTAACATTTTGCAGTTCTTGGGAACACAATTAGTTTTCCCAAAGTATCACCACATAGAAAAATTTACCAAAGATTTGCAAGACTCTCCTCCTAAATTTCAGGGAAGCCTTTTATTCTATGCTCAACTCGAGCAGTCCAAGACCTGGTTTTGTTTGAGGTACTAAGTACTGGCTAAACCATTTTTACACCAGGAATGGGGAGCAGCCAGAACAGTCTGTCAGTGGGTCCCCACAGGACACAGGGTTAGTGCAACACACAAAGGGTCAGTTCACAACTCCAGGTGCAAGAGCCCCTTTGCAGTCAAAGCACCCAGAGGGCTTCACTGAGTCAGCACCTACATAATTTGTTGAAAAGTGAGGAGATACCTGCCAACTGAAACAAGGCCTTCTCCGTCCCATCTTGAATGGCTTTTCTCCCACACCCACCACCTCATTTTTCATCAGCTCTACCATCCCATCACCCCTCTCCTGTCTGCAATAAACATATGTCTGACATGGTGATCCCCACTAGATCACCCTTCTGATACAACTCTGTGATCTTCTACTTCTATATACGCACTGATACTTTGCAGAAAAGAATCCTAGAATTGTTACGGTTGGAAGGGACCTTAAAGATCATCCAGCTCCAACCCCCTGCATGGGCAGGGACACCTCCCACCAGACCAGGTTGCTCCAAGCCCCATCCAACCTGCCCTTCAACACTGCCAGGGATGGAGCTTCCACCACCTCTCTGAGCAACCTGTCCCAGTGTCTCACCACAAGTGAAGAACTTCTTCCTAACATCTAATCTGAATCTTCCCACCTCTAGTTTTGATCCATTCCCCTAGTCTTACCACTACCTGACATCCTAAAAAGTCCCTCACCAGCTTTCCTGTAGGCCCCCTTAAGATACTGGAAGGCCCCAATAAGGTGTCCTCAGAACCTCCTCTTCTCCAAAAATTTGTATTGAAGTACATAATGAGATCCTAAAAGAGGTAATTTTTCAGACATGGGAGGGAATATTTTTTTACTTTGGAAAGTAGTTACAGTATAAGCAGCAGAATTCAGATGCTGGAATGCTGAGGGATGACGAATTCCCTGCTCACCCATGAACACACAGTGTCTTGGGAAAAGGAGATAGGCTTGCCTGTTGCACAATGGTTTGAATTCAAGAGTTATTAATATAACAGCATATGTGATAAGAAGCTAATAAGGCAACAGTCAAGTAAATACAGCTGTAACTTTCAGTTTGTTTATTCTATTCCAAAACACAAGGAGTTCAGAATAACACAGCCAACTCTGAGCTCACTAAATACAGAAGAATGTGTATGTTGAACTGACTAAACTCTTTGCTTTATTATTTTACAGAAATACAAAGCTTTTTCCTTAACACACACTGAATGCCCCAGCTTGCTATGGGTTTGCTTTCAGGAAGCTTAAGATATGAGAACTGTAAAAGTTTCCTTAAGCCCTGTTTTTTCTGCAGTTTAGAATACTTTATAACCCACTCTTCAGAGACCTGTAAAAGGAAAGATGGATTTTCCTCCTCTTCACTCATCTGCTTTACTGTTCTTCTTTAAATGGGGAGGACCTCTTCCTTCTCCCAAATGCTGCCCCATTGCAGGGTCAGGAACACATGCCCTTGAACACACATGCCATCAGAAGAATACTTTGGTACTGTAAATGCTCTGCACAGAACACATTAACTGCAGCCTGGGTTTCTTTAAATCCTCCTCTCCTGCATCTTGCAACACAGGAAACACTGAAGATCTGGGATTTCTGTGTCTACCAATGCCAGTATTCAGGGTCTGTATGGTCCTTGAGATAGCTCTCCACAGTTGGAGAACAAGCCCGATCACTACCATCTGTTCTTCCTCAGCTTCTCCTACTCTCTCACACACTGCAGATCTTTGTGCCTGATCATGAGTGATGCTGGAGCTCAAAGTGGGCCAGCCCTGAGGCTCAACGTGCTACTGGGGCTGAAGAGTTCTGTAGGGCTGGGTAAGCATCAGCCCTGGTTACTCAGTCCCACAGTATGACAACGCATGTAGGGGACCTGAAATGGTGGCAGGGGTTAAGGTAGGGTGGTCACTCGTTTTGGGAGCAGTAGCTCACTAGGTTGATAGAAGACAACTGTCCTCCTGGCTTCCTTGTCCTTCACTCAGTAGGGCAACAAAAGCAAAACCCAGAAAGGCTGAATGTGTCTGGGAAGGGAATATGTGGCTCCAGAGCAGCCACTGCTACATGTTAGAGGTAGATGAAGATCCACCCCCCTCCCATGGCTGTCCACTTTGGCAAGGGAGGCTAAGCTAGAGGGGTGAAGAAAGCTTCCCAAGCCAGGCCTCCTCAAGAAGCTTCCATATAACTGGGAAGTAGTGGGTTAATGAATTGGACCTTGATGTGCAAGTAAAGATAGTGAACTGACCTACAGAACTCACACACCAGTTCTGCCTTCAGGACCCACCTCCCAGCCTGTCCAGGGGCTGCTCAGGCACCCCCCAGGGAGCCCTGCTCAGCAGTTTTCACTTTCTGGATTCCAGCACAGTGGAAATCCCTGCTGGTCTCTCACAGCACCATATTCATACAAACAATGTAAAGCTGGAACAGACAATGAGGTGCCAACTCCAGCCACTTGACTTCTAGAATAGGAGGACTTTACATCAGTTTGACTTGAAGACCCACTTCTCAGAAACAGGTTTATTGTTCATGAAGCTCCTCAATGCACAACATGCACTCCTACCTGCCAGGATTGTGAGGAACTACAAAAAAATTACCCAAGTTTAACAGAAAGGCCCACAAACCAAATGGAAGCAAACAAAAAACCTGTTCTCTCAGGAGGCAATGACTCTTCACTTTAACAATATATAAGGACCTATATTGTTACATTAGAACAACAAAATTGGATTGGTTTTTTTTCGTGGAAGGCAAACAGGCAGCCCCAAACACCACAGCACCATGCTGTTTTCCTCCTCTTCCACATACAATAGACATCCTGATATGGCACAAAACTCGAGCTGATCATCCACTTTGCTCTGACCTTCACCTTCTGAAAAGCAGAGCAACTCATCTTCCTCCAGGTAGCACCAAAGTCAGAAAGGCTTGGTACCAGCTCCCATAAGCCCCAAGTACCGACTGCAGAATCTAGATGAATTTCCTGATCCACAACACCAGCCAGAAGGTCAGACACCTACAGGACAAATACAGGGACTGCTGCTCATCTCCAAAGCAGGGAGGCAGTTCAGATGTAGGTTTACAGCTGACCTTCCCAGGAAGATTGAATCACTAACTCCTGCTCAGTCCAAGGCAGACAAGGTAGAAGCATTGCTCATGGATGCCTTCTCTTCAGAAGATTCTACTTCAGGAATAGATTTATTTTTTTTTTAAAACTTTGTTTTCTTCCTTCTCATGTAAGAAATGAGCTGCCTACAACAACACAAAGAGGAAACAACAAGCAGCAACTGGCTCTTAAGGACCCCGTTCCCTAGAACAATCCCCTAAGTCTGGGATGGGCATAACCAGATGTTAACCACTACGGAGGGAGTTAATTTTTTTCACAGTAGTTTTAATTACGTTATATGAGTGGAAATACTGCAGGAATTCCTTAGGAAAAAAACCAGTTTCTTATTGCAAAAAGTTAACCTTAAATGCTGTTTGCTTAGTGGAACACTTTTCTCCAACAGGGACATGCATTCTCAGAAAGGACAACTAAGGAAGGAAAACACCACAATAAATCTTTTAGCTTTGTTACCAATAGCTAATACTTATTTTTTTTTCCTAAAGAGGAAGGCAAGATTAAAGCCCATTTTTAAATGCTGCTCTCTAGCGCGGTGTAACATTAGCGTCTATCCACTGTATCACCTTTTGCCAGTTATACAATTTATTTATGGACAGACTGAAATGGTGACATCTGCATTATAAATAGACCAGACAGAACTACAGCCTCATTGTAGCTACACAAACAAAGCACAGAGACTAAACCTCTGCCATCCAGGCTGCTCTCTCAGGAACTTGCCAGTCCCAGCAGAAAACTCCATGGAAGGAAGCAGTATCACATCAACTGCTCAAATGCTTTCTAACTCCTTCCTCCTGGCCCCAACTTCCAACAGGGGCCTAGATAATAAATTTACCAGTTCCTTGTTTTTTTCCAAGTGGGATTCTGTAATCCTCTGTTCTAGGGTACAGTGACTCAGCCTGGGTTTCTCACAGTCCACAGTGCTGACTTAATGTCTCCTTCCATTTTTTACAGTTCCTGTCTTACTGAAGTCTAATGGTAACTGGACACAAGCCATCCTCAGTGATCATCAGTTCTCAGAGTTTCAGAGCAGATTTGTACCTTTTGCCCAAGACTTTCTCTTCCTTCCCTTCCTTGAAGCCCTTTCCCATCATCGTATCTTTCTACTGCCTCTTTTTTTTACCCATCTCAAAGGGGAGTAAGAACAGCAAAGGTTCATTTTCTGGAGAGAATCTTTTCTACTCTAATTCGTAAACTCACCAGCAGAAACAAAGTCCAACTGCAGCAACACACAAATGAAAACTACCCAAGCAACACAGAATCACAAAAGGATTCAGGTGGGAAAGGACTCAGGGCTAACTCTAAG